TCTATGAGCAATGCTCAAACTGTCCTTTGTAACATCACTGAAAGTTATAGTCTTGCCCATATCATGGGGGAGGTGGTGGCGGGGACGTGCAGCAGGCGAACAATTGCGCTTAAAGGCACAGTTCGCGACCGCAAATTGCGGGAAACGGAACTCAAATAGGCACAAAAAAGTGCTAAGTATCTGATTAGCGGAGAAAAGCAGCAGAAAAAGCAGTCCGAAATGTTATAGAGAAAGATAACATAGTGGCTACTAGCTAGTAGCTAGCAGCCGGTGAGGGTCGGCATGGGCCTAAGGGGTGTCCATGGGCCTAATTAGTCAGCTTCTAGCGGAGTTCTTGCCGTTTTTCACATTTTGAAAGTAGCGCAGCCTCAAAAATCGCCTTCCGGATCGTCCGACACATTTGAGAGGTCATAGCCTTATTTTATCGCGGAATGTGCCTTTAAGCATGGAAGAAGAGCTCCTGCGTAGCTCAGGGTACACACTCCCGTGCACGAGGAAGTGTTTTCGCACTTCGAGAGAACCGGCTAACCTAACCAGTTCCGCAGCCCCTTCTTATTACCGCCCTTCCACATTTTCCCTGCCTATATGCTCATTTCCAGATACCGTGGCCTCACAAGAAACAAAGGTCGAGTTCAGGTCAAAGGATTGGTGGAGGTGGCGGGCATTGAACTGGCTTCCATGCATCACTGCCGATGTCTCTTGTAGAGACCCGTGAATCCCTGTAAAGCCACGTCATGCGGGAGACCTTTACACTTGACAAGATTCTACGGTCTTACCAGTAATGACGTGTCATTCAACAGACTGTCAAGAGAAACTGGTGACGTGCAAAAGATGTCTCCCTCCCCCACCTCATACCCTTCCCCTCCCGAGCGATACCAGCTGCAAATATCGTTGGTCTCATTTAAAAGCTTTACAAGCGGTTACATGTGTCCTCAACATTGCCTGTTAGCTGACCAAAGGTTAGGAAAATCCATTTGTAGCGGACTAGCGCTGTTGCTTCTTCTTGCTTCGAATTGAGATAATCATAACTGACGCCAAGAGACCGGTCTTTTCGAAACCTACTCTCAACCACATCACCAAAAAGTCGGAAGTTTTCTCTATGGGGAGATGGTACATTGAGATATAAAGCAACCACAACAATACCTCTCATGCTTGCCATCGGGCAGAAATGACTCATCCGGTCGTCGACCCTTTAATTGAGGTTATCGAGGATTTTTAGAAACGTGGATATAGATCTTATCACGTTAATGAAATAATTGGCAAGGACAATAGGAATTAACCTAATGACAGCATTCTCCCACATAAGCACTTTTGTAAGCAGTTCCAAAATAGAATTTACCCTTCTCATATGAGCCCAAAAATGGAACAAATACTTGCGTCGCTAATGTTTGCCGGACACAAATCCAGGGACGCAATGCTACGCTAATGTTATGCTTTACTGAAGAATCTGTGCTTTCAAAACATGTACGTAAAGGATGGATATTGATCATAAGCCAGTTAAAAACTACGGGAGACGGGCTAATGCCGTTTGGACTCCAGAAATTTCGGCACCGAGCTCATTTTTAAATTGCCTAAGTCACCAAATCCGCTAAAAACTTGTATATAGGGGTAGTTTAACATCCTGATTACGAATATGACATTCACTCTTGTCGCTGGCGCTAATGGATGACACTACGATTATCTGCGCTCTGCTAAGGCTGAGCCCAGGAGGTAATCGTAGTGTCCTCTCTTGGCGCCAGCGACAAGAGTGAATGTCATATTCGTAATCAGGATGTTAAACTACCCCTATATACAAGTTTTTAGCGGATTTGGTGACTTAGGCAATTTAAAAATGAGCTCGGTGCCGAAATTTCTGGAGTCCAAACGGCATTAGCCCGGGAAACGGACAACAGTCGTCATTTGTCGCGTCGTCGTGCGCGGCGTGCAGTACGATGATGCGCGACGAAGTCTCGATTTGCATCAGTACGTCGACTGGAGCAGCGGAACTCTCATGAATTCAAACGGAGACGAGACTCTTTGGGCGATATCGAATTCCCCCATCCGTGCATGCAAACGGTCAAGCAGGATAACTCGCCCACCGGACGCGGTGGCGCTCGCCACGCCCACTGATGCGGCACACTATGATTGTCTTGACACATACCCAGGATGCTGACGGAACTGGCTGGGATTCAAGAGCGATCTCGTCAAAACAGCCACAAACCACGGTTAATTAACAAATCAAAATGTGCTTATTTACAAGTCGTGGTAATCCGAATTGTCCATTTCTTTGGCCTCCAGAGTCCCTAGAAAAATCGTAATAAAACTATTCAGGACTAAACTTCACTGAAATAAGGATGTGAGGCTTACGTCAACCACAATTCACTACCGTATCCGCAAGGTCTTTCAGCGAATAAAATGAGACGCCTGTCTGTGATGACCTTGTTACAAGACTTCGCGTGACCAGGAGCAACATAGAGAATGGCTTAACAGCTGTGAATCTCCCCGATGGCGTTCTCAACGGCTAATCGGCTTATTGGCCAATGGCAAAACTGTGAGCACACAGACAATAACCACTGCACTATGGGAAAATGCTGGTCGCCTTATTATGGAGTTCAGTCCTATTAGCGGTGATGTATTTGATGAGAAACGTCAAAATGTTCGTGATAGATGAGAACAGCACGCGTCAGTACCTCGAGTAGCACAATCTGTTCAGAAATTCGGGTCGCGCAGGAGAAGGCTAGAAGGTTTTCCAGCAAGTTACAAAGTGCGTGACATACACGGTGTGTCAAACATTTTTCTCCTTGCGGTGGTTTACTCAAACTATTTGCACTTATTATGTTCTAAAGTTATCAAAACGCGCTTTTGGACACGCAATACACATATCTCATATAAAAGTGAAAACAAATACATGAAATTACAGATAATCGATGTGAACGTAACGAAACGATGCGGAGATGCTTCGCAAAAACAGCTGGTACAAGCGTTTGTTTGTACGAGCTAAAAGAAAAACTCACATGGAACGGATCGTTGTCTTGCTGATTATTGGTGACTTTCACTCGATCGAATGCTACGGTCTTGCTCATCCAAGCCGTCGCAGTGTCACTGGCACGGCGTCGGTGATGAGGAATACTGCGAGCTGGCGTTTGCACTTCTCCCTTGCCATTTGTAGACCAGTCACCCGCACTGAACTTATACCTGAAGATGAAAGATCTAAATCAGTTGGTTGGGAATAATAGAAAACCAACTGAGACACCATTCTGACAAAGTATTGAGGACTTCCAGCTGTTGAGCTGGTCTGTAGAGCTCACTCGGAGGCTCCCATAATAACATCTCTACAAGTGGATATCTGACACCTAGCTGTCAATTCAACGGAGAGATGCCTCTTCAGGGACAACGAGGATATGGCTCTTCACGGACGCACCGTAGAGTTACTGCCGAGAACCGGGCCCTACTCATGAAGATGGCACATTTCGGTGAAGTACACGTCAGACATTCGATCCAAGCATGGCCACAATGGAACTTAATCTTGTTCAATATAATCTGACAAAAGGTGCTCAGGGGAGGGTGAGAACAACTCATTCATGCCAGAGATTTCCTAGAAGTGCGGCTGTGATTCGCCTAGGATAGTAAGAGTATTTGGCACTCTTATTATGAGGGTTTTCGAAAAAAAGGAGGGATAGGAAGAGGTTCGAATTTGAGTGCTTCCTGTTGCCTCATCGGTGCCAGACGACTGGCTCAAAGATTATACTAGTACCGTCACCTAGTTATACCGGCGTTAGAAGTGAATGATATCAGTGGGTTACTACTTCCATAACGGTACTTTATCACACCCGACTCAAATGATTCCCAGAAACGGATTTCAAAGGGTATTTCTTGAAACTTAAACCTACTGGCTTGGGAATACTCTCTGAACCCCGGCCCCTTCCATAGCTGAGGAATAAAAATCCGAAAGCTGAGCCATCACAACTTCATCCCATATTCAGATTACTCAGCTGACCAAACTGTTCTCAAACCCATCGCGAAAACGAGAGTTAAACTGCGCTCTACTTACCATCAGCGTTTTGAGTGACTAAGAAGGTAGAGGTATTGTACGCAAGGTACTGAACCGCTTTCAGCGACTGCACGCGAAAAGCTCAAAACCAGCCGCGAAACGTTCAAAGCGGTAGGATACGCTCGAAACGCTAAATAGATATCTATGCTTTCCTAGTCGCTCAAAGGCTGGCGTACACTCGAAAGGCTTGATCGATATCTTTACTTTTCTTGTAGCTCAGAAAGGTGCCATAAAGGTGAATCGATACCTATACTTTCCTAGTCGCTCAAACAGTCAACGCCGCCGTACCCTCAAAACTGTCAAAACGCCGACGCAAAGTATGAAGCGCTCAACTTCAACTCTCAGAGATACGAAAGAAGTTGTTACAGTAGTTATACACTAAACTAACCTCATGTCATCCACTCTTTCAATGCGCAGCATAATCGCATATGATTCGTCGGGATTCATTCCGTGCAGCTTATACTCAATTTTAGGGAATATTTTCCTTAAGAAAAAAGTATATTATAGATATAGTTCATTTGTACTCATGGAGGGTGACAGGTACGGTAGCGCCATAGCAATCGGACGAGCAGGAAACTATACAGACGGCACGAAATCCTATACAGATTCTCTACCCTCTCTCTCTAGCGCTCTTGTTCTTTTCTGAATACTAACAAAAACTGCCAAATCCCCCGCCCCCTCTCCTCTTCGCCGAACTGCCGCTCTTTTTCGTCTCATATCGAACGCAACAAAGCTACGTGCGGCGGAAACTCGCTTCCCACTAGTTAAACTGTGACACACACCTCCCAGTCTCTACAAAAAGAGTGAGTCTAACACAGGTTCAAATTAGAACAGTTCAGGTGGTACTACTTCCTAGGACCAAAAATAATTGCTCACAAATCACATGAAGCACCCATTTTAGTTGTGGCATCAAAATAGCCATAAAACATACCCGCTTCCACTTTCGTGCGATCACTTTTCAGGTAGATGTGCTGATGAAACTTTGCGCCTAAACTTTCCAGTGACCTACCGCAGATGCACTAACGTGAGGAACATGTGACATCTGAATTACTGACCCTTCTAAATGTTGCATACGCGAACAACACCGACAAATATTCCAGCTATACATAGGCTGCAATACATGATGCAGGGGAATTCATGCAAGGCGTGCTCACGCGACTTCTAGAATCGAGATCGGATCTACAGAAAAGCGTGCTAATGCTCGTTTGGATCGGCACTCGAAGTCATCTATTACTGTATCGGCGCTACCACCCATTCACGCCCACTCTCAACGTCCCGCCCTTTTTGCCTAGAGCCAAATGCGCGTTAGAAAGTTGGGAATGTGAAGCTTAACCTTGAAGCAGACGACCCCATCTTATTCCCGGTGATCTGAGATGGACGGGAAGCGAGAACGGTGGAGGAGAAATCCATTTTAGGCGGTTCGGTGACGGGTGAGGAGCTGTCGGGAGGGGGAGGCGGCATTTTGCACTTTTGCTGTTTCACTACTTCTGTTTGCAAGTCTCACTCTAGTGAAACCTGTGAACGCTTGTGAAGCTGGAGCAAGCTCGTCGAAAAAGCAAGGTAAATCTATCTTTTTTTTGTAAGAAGAAGCAGCTCTCTACATGGCTCGACACGTCGATGGGAAGTAGCAAAAATGCAAAATGCCCCTCCCCACTTCCTTCTTCCACCGTCGTCGAAGTGTCTCCAATTTTGTATATGTGGTGTTTATGAGATAAAAGCGCTCAGAGAAAATCTTTTCAAATAGCGACTTTAAAAAGCTCTGGTGAAAAGGTGATACGCTGGAATCAATGAGGCAGGCGCACTAAAACAATAAAAAGTTGCCTAGGTAGCATGGATTTGCCTTGAGGAGGGGGGGGGGGGTGTGGAGCGGAGAACAGAGAAGACATCCGAAAAACTGATTGCATATGAAAATGCATAAGTTTGAAGTTCAAGTGAAAAGTAGAACAAGTACTGTCAACAAGTGGGATGTACAACCGTAGCAAATAACCGCACGAGGAGCGCGTCATAGCCTCAACCTCGGCATCGAAAGTTCACGATGAAATTGCGAAGCGTGATCATCTCTGATCAAAAGAAAAAGAAAAGATCATCATAAAAGGTTCATAGTCCCAGAATATCACCGTATGGGCTAATCGTAAAACGCTGGCACCCCATGTGCGAAGAGAGCCTACCTTGGACCTATGAAGCAAAGACTTCGAAAGTGAGTGTTTGCTTTTGCATAACTAATACATCACTAGTAAAAAGGCAATTCCCTCCCTCATCGCCTGGGTGTGAAGCCTTGTCAAGCTATGACCAGTCGCAGCCAAGTTAAGCCTCGTTCATACTTTGAGTCTTTGCACAATAGAAGAATAGGAGAATCCCATAGCGTTCCGGTCGGCGGAATGCGTGCCAGAGGAGTAGACGGGAATCGAGTGCTAGCATTCGATTATACTATGCTCTCAAAACGCCAGCGACCAAAGCTGATCGGATCCTATTACTACTTTAGCGCGCGCTCGCTCGATTCGCGCCTACTCTGATACTCCTACTCCTTCGATTCGGCTGACACCTATACGTGCCCTTGGCGCGTATTCTATAAAACTCCAGTTTTGCAAAGTATGAACGCGGCATCAGCGGCTGGTAACAGCACGCTCACTATTCCTTTGCTGCATTTGCTTTGGCTTGTTACTGCGGCTTCAGACAAGTACAATAAATGCGGCTCAATTCGCCGAC